TTATAAGTCGCTACTCGGCAACTTGGAATTGTATTAGTCTAGTTCCTTTTGAAATAATTTATTTTGTTATTTTATCTAAGTTTATGAATTTAGTAAACATATTTAGAACTCAGGTTATTAATTAAAGTAAAAGGTAAATGTTATTCCTAGTAAAATTTTCGCAGTGGAAGTAGTTGTGTTTTTTTTTTCATATTATACCCAATTGCAAACGACTGTTTAAAAAAATAATTATTTTCTGTAAATATTTTATCATACGGTTTTTAAAATAGATACAAATGGATACAAAAAAATAGACAAATATTACTTCTACAAAGTAGGCAAATATTGACTTTCATTTTTTGAAAAATTTCAGTTACCATAGTGACTTTGGAAAAACAAATTGCTTAAAAATAATAACTTTGTTAACAATCTTGAGATAAACTTTCCTGAAAACGGATACAAATATAATATATTTTTTGAATTGAATAAATGCATGCAGACGATAATTTTTTTTATGCGAAATAAAAATTTTTTAATTTTGCAAACGATGAAAAATTTGTTTAATCTTTAGAACAGTTGTGCTCTTGTAGTTAATGGAAAAATGCGAATCTTCAATACATTGAATATCATTTAATTTAACTAAAATTTGTTTAGATTTCTTTCAAAATAATTTGTTTAGATATGCATAAATAAATATGAACAGTTATTATTTCAATATTTTAGGAATTTTATTTCATTGGTGAGTTGCGAAATCTTTTTATGCATTTGTTAATAATAAATATATATTATAGCATTTTTCTTGCAAGAAATTTTATTTGTTATTGTAAGTGGTTTTTAAAGTATTTATCTTTTTTTTCGAATGTAAACCACTGCTTATAAATGAGCATCAACCGAAATAAGTAAATGTTAATTTCTATTGTAAGTTTAGAGCAATGTAAAATCTCTTTTAACCTGTTAATTTCTTTTAAAAAAGATCATTATATATATTATTCGATGAGAAAATTAACGCTAAAGAAATGTTCGTTGTTTTTTGCTTAATTTTTTAGATCAACGTACACATAACGTCGAACACACTTGTTGATGAATACTAGATGCTCCGTAGCCACCAACCTCTATAAATAGTTTTAGAATCTTTGTCAAAAAAGTATACACATTAAGGGTCACAAATATTTAAGCATTAAAAAGAAAGAAAGAATATAATCGAATATACTTCTAAAAAATATATAAAGAGAGTTAACCCCTCGATCGCGAGCTACCGGTAGACCGCGGAGATGTATCGGTAGATCGCGTCACAACGCTCGGTAGTTTAACCTCAGTTCTTCCGCTGACCTGGACTTAACTAATGACAAAAAAAGTTCAGTCCTTCTCTTTAAAGTAAATAAGTTTGATAAAAAAAAAAATCTATTATATTAGATACTCTACCTTACAATAACAAAAGAGACATTTTCAGTTTTTGATATTTTTTTGAATTTCTCAAGTAGTACTTTAAGGACTATTTTGTCACTTTGGAACTGTTTAGTTCATGCGATTTTTCATTTTTTGCAATAAAGTTTAGAGCTTTCACAGTTTTGAAAAACTCACAATAAATTACGAAGGAAAATAAGTATTTTTAAACACCCTAAGCCAGAAAATTAAGCAATAAACTTGTAACTTCTATCAATCACTTCGGCTGTTATTTGCAATAACTGCCTAAAAATTTCAAATTTAGTATAAATATTTATATAGATACTACAAGCACTTTTATAAAAAACTAATTTTTTTTGTCTTGTGTTTTTTAATGCAACATATTTAGTTAAACTAAACGAAATTTTTGGAGTTATTTAAAATTAATTACAAAATTATTGTTTCAAAATTTGAAAAAAAAATTGTTAAAAAATGCACGCTAAATATGAGTATTTAAAGTAGTTCTTTTGCATTGCACATGAGAGGAAAAAATTTAAAACTATTTTTTTTATAATTTTGAAGTGAATTATATTTGCAACTAATGAACACAATCTAATTTTAATATCTTAATAAAAAGTTTCAATCTATTTTCTAAGTAGTTTTTATATATTTTTTTAAAGAAAACTCAAAATAATCAGGGATTTACCACAAATTGTATTATACAGTATTGCAAATTACACTATACCTTATTATAACCAAACAGCAAGAAGAAAATGAAATATGTGTAAAACCCTTTATAGTTTTAAGCTTTCTTTTAAAAAGTACAAAAACTTTAAAACATTTAAATCAATTTTTTTCCATTAGTTGCAAAACAGGATTCACTGTAAAATAATGAAAAAATAATTTTAAATTTTTTCGCTCATGCGAAGTACAAAATAACTACTTTAAATACTTATATTTCATGTATTTTTTAGCAATTTTTTTCAAATTTCAAAGCAATAATTTTGTAATTAATTTAAAATTATGCCAAAAATTTCTGGAACTTAGTTTTACTGAACATTTCTTAAGTTATGGTAGAAAAACATAAGACAAAAAAATTAGTTTGTCGTGAAAATGTTCATATCTCCATAATATTTAAGCTAGATTTACGAAACTTTATGCAGTTATTGCAAACAAGAACCAAAATAGTTTATACAAGTTACACAGTTTTTTGCTTGATTTTCTATCATGGGGTGTTCAAAAATACTTGTTTTTTTCCTAATTTTTCTTGGTCCCTCAAACCCTGAAAACTCTTAAAATTTATTGCAAAGTATAAAAAACTGCACTTCTAAAATTACAAAATAGATCTTTATGTATTTCTTGAGAAATTCAAAAAAACATCAAAAACTGAAAGTGTTTCTTTCATTATTGTTGCGTAGTGTTTGTTAGTTAATACTAACTACACTTCAATTTCTTTATGTAAAACAGAAATGGCCAGCAAGGGATGAACTATATTAAAGTGAAAGAAATCAATCAAGTGTCGTAATTTTGTGGTTATAAATCTCAACTAGCTGTTTCCACTATTCCTATTGGACTATTCGTATTTCCATCCAAATAGATATGTATTCCCAAGGGTTCTATCTGTAACTGACTGATCATTGATGGCTTTCCAGTAGACAGGTTAGAGAAGTGACGTCAGATTAGACATCTCTATTCAAGTTCAGTTCCTTTTTATTATATACAGTTTACTTAAAATTCTATTCATATTTACTAGAATGTAATTTTTTTCTTGGCAGTAAGTTTCTTTTTGTGGTAACTTGATAACTCACAGCAGATTTTAAAACGGTATGATTGCTCAGAAGAGTTATAAATTTTAAGACCACTGTTCTGTAGAATTATTTCGAGTTTGACATGGTTCATTGCTTCAAGAAAATATCGCAGTCTTTATGCATTGTCAATAACAAGCTGAAATAAAACACTTGATTACAATATCCATATAAAAACGTTTATTGTGCATTTCTAAATATACAAAGGGTGAATGTGTGATGACACAATAATAACTTTTAAAGTTCTTCAACAATACGCAAAATGAGTATTATTTTTAAACGACAATAAATAAAAAATACAACTTGTAAAATGAAACATAAAATGAAAACAAATCGAAACATTGTATGGCTATACAAAAAAATAACAGATGCTTAATGACGCATTTATAGTGTACAATTTCATTTAAATGTGAAAAGAATAATTTCAATTTATTTAAGTGTATTTTAGAACAAAATTTCTTGGTAGGCTTTTTAGAACACAATTTAACCCTTAAATTCCCAGTTGCAGATTGGCAATAAATTCTTTTAGTTCCTAGATAAACAAAGGTGTTTATATTTTTAATAAATACCACATATCTATTTCTCACTTTATATATATATATATATTTTATATCTTTTCATCATGTAACCACTTGGCTCAAAACATAGATAACAAGCAACACATTTATTTTTATTTAATCAACTTTGGGTTGATAAATCATAATCAATTGCTGACAGAATTCAGAAAATTTTACAATTTGGTGTTTATTAATACTATTGCATATAAAATATGTAAGTAAATGGACAGTTGTAGGAATGACCTAAACGATTACATCATTTAATTCAATCATTTTTACAAAGCATTTCTTATATTTATATATTTACTCTAGCCATTTATGAACGTTTATTTATTTATGCAAACAGTTTTTTCATAAATAATGTTTTCTTTTGACCATTTAAATATTGTTCAATATTTCTTTTGCTAATTTATCTCATTAATATATATATATAAAACAAATACATAGGAATTTAAAGGTTAAATATTTCGAACGAATAAATAAATGTAAATTTTTTCATTGTAAATATTTATTTCTATTTTTATTTAAAGATACTATCATAAAATAAATATATTTGGATTTGTCAGTTAAGTTAGTCATTTTTTAACAAGTAGAACTGAAGAGTGAAATCGTTTTTACCATCTATTTTACGTGTCAAATTAAATCAATTGGAATATAATACCAAATATGAAATTGTAAGCATTTTGCTATTCGTGACTTAAACTTTTTCATAAGTTTATCGTCGGTTCAAATTGGTATAAACCATTAAATTTGATATCAATATAAAATATTCATTGAATATTTCTTTCATCAAGATAATTTGGTTTTTAATTTATGTTGACATCAAAGTTTCTAAATAATTTATTTTCAAATCAATATTTTACATATAGAATACAAATCACATTGTAGAATATTTTGTCTTAACATATTAAAATTTTAATCGACATAATTTTATTTAATATTTTTGATTTCGATCAAACTTCGAGAAGTTAATAAATTATTATTAAAAAGTGAGTATTATTGAACACATGATTTTAAAATACAAATAAGTTAAATGATTCTATTGATGTTTTTAAAAATTTACAAAAATAGTAGTAATGAAACCATAAAAAGCGTAACTCATTTGATACAGTATGCGAACAGACTATCATTTACAGTCACTTTGTCTATTCCTAAGAAGAACACACAAACCTTTAACATACAAAACTACATAATTCGTGAGATTTGAAAAGTACATGATATAAAACTGTAAGTAACAACGATATTACACCATACTTTCGTCTTTTTTTCTTTTCTTAAATTTCACGATGTTTCTAAAGTACGATGCAACAATTTTATGATATAAAGTCATTTTTTTTTGTAAAATCCTCCGATTAAACACGTCACATCCACACATAAAATTGTTGTAATATTCAGCAGTTATTTTTTTTTCGAAGTCAGGCCATATTATATCTATTATCTATTTGAAAGAAAGAGAACAACATCGAACTTTTTTTTTGCCCGATATCTAGTAAAACTAAGAGTACGTGTTCACGATACAAAGTGCACAGATAACAAGTTTTTTTTCCCTTCTAAAATTGTCGCCAGCTTTAACTCAGCAATTCGTTTTGACTGGAAAGCGGGTATAGTCAGAGTTCAGTTCTAAAAAATAAATAAAAAAAGAAAGAAATGGAAAGAAAGCTGCAAGCCCATTTGATTTATAGTGTCTAACAATGAAGATGGGGAGACGGCCATCTCTCTCTCTCTCTTGGGGCCATCAGTTTAACAAACATCACACAACAATCAGTTTAGCTAACACACAACAGTGTCCTGCACTGCAACGTTTTCTTCACGCCTGCAAAATGAAACGTAGACATAATAATTTTTTAATTCATAACTGGTAGAATTCTATTTTCTTTTTTTAAAAAAAGGTTTTAGTAGTGTTATTCGACAATCACACATGTAGTTTAAATTTAAGGAAGCATAATGTGAAAGATTTTTATCTACTTCTTTTTGGGTTTTAGATAATGTACTTGCCATTAAAATATGATTTACATGTAAGTAATGAGACTCAGGAATAAAAATTTTGGGACTCTTAACAGAGTAGTGACAAATATTGTAGCAAGCTGGTTTCGAAGTTTTGTAACAAGAACAAGTATTGTAACAAACTGTGTATTTATACTAAATTCGATTACACTCAAAACATTTAGGGCTAAAGTGGTTCATTTGCTCAAAATATTATATTTAAAATTTAAAATACGTCTCAAATCAAAGGGTCTACATAACTAGAAAGAGAAAGGCAATTTTTTTTCACACTTCATTACATTCTGCAAGAAATTTTTCTATAAACAAGAAAAAAAACTCCTCATAATTAAAAAGTTACAGATTAATATACGCTAATATGCTAATTGTTAGATTTTTCGTTATTGAGTAATAGAATAGCAATTAAACTATCTTGTTAAATTATCAGTCAAACAAAGGCATTGAAATGTTAATATTGTTAAGCGTTGAATTGATTCATTCACTTAATGAGCAATATAAGCATACCCAGTTAGTTATAAGTATAGTTATTATACTAGTTACTTTACTAGTACTAGTTTGTAATATTTCCTAGCATATGGTAATGACACGTGAAAGAAATATTGTTTATTTAACTTGGTTTTGAAGATACTTTTCAACGGAGTTCAAATCTTTTCTTCAAATTGACTCCTACATCTTCTGAGCAATTTAATTTTTAATGTTAAAAAGCGATTATTTCTTAGAAATTCAAATATTTAATTGTATATATTCTTATTTTATCTTTTTTTAAATTATGTGAAAGACTAATGTCTATAGACAAAAACACTGTTTTAGTAACTTAGAAAACGTGATTTTTAAAAAGGCATATATTGTAAGATGATTCTAAAATAAACATGAATAACTTTGAACCTAACTTTAATGAAAATTAAGAACCAATAAAAAATGAATTTAAATGTCAGTTTTATAATTTTTAAATTTTCCATGATATATGATGGAAGTTTGTTAAAGTTTTTTTAAAAAAAAACGTTAATGTTTTGTCAATATAATTATATAATTTACTTTCTTGAACAGAAAATATCTGCAACAAATTTCTAAAAACATATATAAAACAATGGCATTCTTTCTATTTAAATCATTAAAAAATTTGTGAATACTATACTGCATTGAAAAACTATAAATTGTACTTCGTTAACATTAATTTTTTTTTATATATGAGCAATTTTATGACCTAAATCTTTAAACATTGCATACTGTTTTATTAAAAGAGCTTTTTGCGATTTATGCATTTCATGAAAAGTTTTCAAATGTGTACATAAAAACTGTTGATATATACCCAACGTTAAACTACGTTAGAGTTCGATATCTATCATTGACAGTTTGAAGTTTAAATTTTACGTAGAACTTAGAGGATTTCTTTTAAACGAATCTTTCTCAGCATTCCTATTAATTAGTCCTTATATTTAGGAGATGAGTTTGAACAGTACACAGTGACTTTTTTTAATTAAATCTTTTAGTTAATAATACATCATTTTTGAAGGTTCTTACGTGGCAGTGTTTTCCTTTAACAGATCCATGAAATGTTTACGCCGTTGGAGTTGGTGCTGTGGGAGCGGCAATGACAACCTAAATAGTAGCATCAATAAATAATTAAACAAATTACACACTATAATTTTTTTTGAATCATTAATTGTCCCAGTGAGTTTCGTTGAAATTGGTGCATTGTATTTTATGAGAAGAGAATTATGATTTAGTAAATTGAATAATCCTTAAATAGATTTAAAATGTATAATTGGTTAATACATGCAAATTTTAAATAAATTATAAATCATGCAAAACTTAGCAGAATGAAGAAGCAATGAAAATATTACTTTTGTATTACCCATTATTCTATTTTGTATTACTCATTTATTCTTCAAGATTTTTATTTAATTTTTTTTTTAAACTTTACGGAATTTACTTTCTCGGAAGTTGTCACGAACTCTAAGTTGACCAGCATGCGCTTCTCTAACAAAATAAGTGTTTCCTTTTAAATAATATTCTCCTTTCCAATATCTAGATGGGAAAAAAGTTTCATTTATAAGGTTTTCGGTAAAAAAAAAGTATAAATATTATTTCAGCTTATTTTTTTCGAATAAACTTTTAAATGGATACAATTATTGAGGCTTGATTTTCTAATATTTCTAGCTTAAAATAGAATAAAAATGAGTTAATAATTTTTAGGTAAGGAATATGAGAGCTAAATTTGGAAATTCAATAAACTTATGCATTTAATTTTACGAATGCTAAAAACAGCCATTTCAAAATTAATGCTCTTGGAAAATAACACTGAGGCGATTAAAAAAACAAACACAAACTCTTAAGTGTGATTTTGCTGTTTGTCGGCAGCAGCATGCTTTTTAATTTATATTATAAATACATGGTGGTCAAATATAAAGGAAATTGTGTACACGATGACCTACGTTGCAGCTCACTTTTCCTGGATATTATTCCCATTAAAAGTTCAATTCTGGAAGGGAAATCGGTTTTTATTAAAGCAATTAGCTTTCTAGTGGAAATAGTTGCAGTTGAGATTTTTTTACATCATACCCAATAGATTAATTCCCAAGTAAAGTACTGCTAGGTTCCAATCAATTTGGTAACTACAAAATTCCTTCAGCCGAATTTTTAAATAATATATAGTTTCCGACATTTCTGGCAAAAGACTGGAAGCTAAATTAAATGAAGAATAGGAGAGAAAATTTAAATATTTACAATTTAAATTTACATAAGAATGAGAAGAAGATTTATAATATATCCTTGACAATATATTCTTCAATACATTGCTTTAACTGTTTTTAATTTATATCAATATGTCTCAAATAAAGTTTAAATTATTTTTGATGTTTATTGAAGTATTTACAAACTGATACTTAACTTAAAAGAATTTAATAAACTTTTTAATAACGATTCAAATACTTATTAGTGATTTAACAATCATAACCACCATATATTTATGTTAGGCAACAGAGAATTTTAAAAAAGCCAGCTGAATTTATAAGCGGATCATTAATTTTTTAGATGCAGATGATCCTGATAAGGAAATGGGAGACTTTACCCCACTAGGTGGTCTCCAGCCACACCCAGGTAAGGGAAGTCCATCTGGTCCTAACGGACATGGGGCATCCAGTCCAGGAACGCCCTGAAAAAGATTAGTAGCTACAAAAACATAGGAATAGAAAAATCCACTGTTGCACCTCAATACCTCAAACACGGCGAAGAACTTAACTATGGTGATGGGAATTTATTTTTTGAAAATAAAAAAAAGTTTGACTTTAATGACAAAGTACCTCTTAACGAACAAGTATTATCATTCTTAAAATTATATTTTAAATAAAAAATAAGAGATAAATTTCGAAAATCAAGAATTTACGATTTTAACCCCGTATTCCGATAGTGCGTAATATTTCATTCATTCATCAATTATTTTTAATTAAATAAATAATATATTGCTCAAAACGTGTGCAATTTTAAATTGTGAATTATTGCCCATTTTCTTGTTGATTTTTTTATTTTTCTAATAATCACGAATTTTTGGAATGGATTTTAAGTTTTCAATTTTAGTTTTTGTTGCAGAATAAAATATATGATTTATAAATACCGACTTCATAAGTGCATTTTATTCGCATTAGTTACCTGCTCTCATTGGTCTCAGCCTAAATGTATATTAACAGTTGTTGATAATTGTTGATAGTTGGTTGATAACTTGTTACATTACTTTAGATTCGACTCCTCCACTGATTAAATTTCAAAAAGTTTTTTTCTTCAATAGTTTTGGTTTACGTAGTCACGCAAATTATTTATATTGAATTGTACTTTAACAGCATTTATCCTTGCATGAAAGCACTTTCACTTTTATTACCTCAGTAGGAAAAAGATAAAAGCAAATGGTACGTACTTTTAACTTATACTTAAAGTAACGATGTATAAAGATATGTACGATGTATACGTACTTTTATTTGTACTTTTTCTTTTCTAAAGTAGACGTTAAATTCGTTCCTTTTTTTGTACTTTTGAAACTAGTTAAAAAAATGATGCTAATCACAACGAAACATTTTTGCCTTTATTCTTAAAGTTTAGTTTTTGATTTTTTTTTTGTTTTCAATTTTTAAAAAAAAATTCTTTTCAGTTTATTTAAAAAAATACACATTTTCTGAAAATGCAGATGTTATCTTTTATAGCAACAGTGCCATAAACTCGAGTTTAAATCAAAACACTTACTCCTTCAGTTATCACAAAGTTTATTATTGCATTATTTTTTAATTTCACTAATATTTGTCGTTTTCAGTTTTGTCTTGAAGTGTACGTACAAAAAATTCTCTTTTTTAATTCATACCTTTTTCTAGTTGTTACTTTTAAAATAAGAAATTACTATTAAGAAATTATTATTTAGATCAGATTTTTGCTTACATTTCACTTTGAAAAACGTTACACATAAACATAAATAATAAAATTTTAGCCTTCTAGTAATTTTCCAACCATCCTATCACAAAACTTTCCAATAATTTTCTAAATTTGAAGTTCGTAATGAGCTAAACAAATACTAATTATCACCTTCACGAGTAGATTTGCTGAAAAAAGAATTATTTCTTAATTAACTGAATTATTTAATTGAACTATAACTGGTAATATTCGTTAGAAATAAGATCAAGTAAGGAAACCAAAAGTTAAATTCAAGTACATGCATAAAAAGAAAGTGTTTTCAAAACAGTGTATACATAAGAAACAAAAAATAAAGTTTCCATCTTGTTAAACACATAGATTACAAAAGAATAACATGCAGTGAGGTGCAAAGTGCATAATAAGAACAAATAAAATATACTTTGATCAAAATAATAAATAATTCAATATAAATGAGAAATGTAACTAAGTTTGTACAGAAAATACTAAAATAAAAATTACACTCCCTAAAATGTGAGTATGGAATTAAAATGCAACAAAAAATTTCGAAATTTATGTTTAATTAAGTACAACTCTAAAAGAATTAAATTTCAAATTTCTATAAATTTTAAATAAAATTTCAACCCAGTCATGAATTTAATTACGCATTTGTCTTTTTCATTGCCTGCATAAACTTAAGTGCCTTTGTCGAACCATTTATAATTTTTTCCCTTGTAAGAATATTTTCCCGAGTCTATAATAACTCTTTCTTTAAAGCTGCTGAGGTTGTTCTAAAATAATTTACTTATTCAAAACGGTCAACACAATCTTGACTTAAAATTTTATAATTAATTTTAAATTTTATAAATTCGCAAAAAAACCTATTAAAACACATGATAAATTAGATGTCTAATAATAAAATATATTAGTATATGATTTTTTAGTGTTTGCTCAATTTTATACAATAAATAAGACTGGCAATGCAAGTCTTAACCTCATCTAGCAATGAATGTTTGAATCAAAAATTCTCAAAAAGAAAAAAAAAATGTGAAATAAAGTTATAAATAGTTACTTACTTCTTTTTATAAGTAACAATTTTATGAATTTAGATTCATGACACCAAAATCGGGACTATGCTGATGAAACATAAAAAAAGATGTACTGGTGATCTCAATAGTTACATTAAGAAAGATATTATTTTTTTTTTAAAGAAAAACTTCTACTTTTTATAACTAATTTTTCTTTAAAAAAATGAAGTTAAAAAAAACAGAGTAATTGTACAAGTGACTAATATTTATTTATAAAATGAGTGTAAAAACTTAAGTTAACTCAAAAGAAAATGAGTGCGAAAACCCAAAATTTAATTCTTAGAGAAATTATTTTCCTTATACTCTAGTCTCAAAAAAGATAATTATTATACTTTAGGTATCAAAACTACAGGAAAAAATTAGTGTCATTTTTTAAACAAGTTCAAAGAAAAAGAAAAGTAACCGTATGTTAGACAATCTTTCGAATCTAAATTTATCAGTTATAGTAACTTCACATAGGTTTTTGTAAAGTAAAATATTATTCATGCAGTATTTGTTTAGTTAGTTCATTGTCTGAACTTATTTTTCTGTAAGATATTTTGAAAAATTAATCTTTATATTTTGATTTGTAATGACCTTTTCGATAAGCCTTTCAACACGCTTTAGTCATTTCCATCCTTAATGTTATTGCGCTTTAGGAATAAAATGTTCCTGAGAATTTGCAAAGATTTTCCCCCTTGAATTTTAACCTTGCTATATTTTATGTAATTAAACAAATTATTTTTTCTTCATAATTTTATTTTTTTGAAACAAAAATAATGAAGTTTTCATTTTCAATTTTATAGTAGTTTATTATACTTATAGTAAAAAGTAGTTCATCATAAAGTACTTGATTACTATTGTATATTTAAGTATTTATTATAAAGTAAAGTAGTTTATTACTTCAAGCAAGAGTAGTTTAGTTTTAAAAATAGTAAAAACCAGTTTAGAATAGCTTTTTATTTTTTTTCACATAAAAAGAATTATTTAAGATTTTTTTTAAAGTTTAATATACAAAACAATAATTAAAGTATTTTAAATGTTGTATATAAATTATCATATATCAGCAATATTTGAAAATTTCTTAGGGCACATTTAAAGAATATCATTGAAAATAATAATATTTTTTTCAAAATATTCCTCTTTGTCTAAATACTATACACTCTATAACAAAAAAATCATCCGGAATGTTTTGAACAGATATGGCTGGAATGATGCCGACTGGGGACGTATAGTCTTTAGCGACGAATCCCGCTTCCAACTGTGTCCTGACGATCATCGAAGACGTGTTTGGAGACGCACAGGGCAGAGGGGGGATCCTGCCTTCACTATTGCACGCCACACCGGCCCTCAACAAGGCATTATGGTCTGGGGTGCCATTTCCTTTGACAGCCGGACCCCTTTGGTCGTCATTAGAGGTACACTTACTGCACAGCGGTACGTCGACGACATCCTAAGACCTGTTTTGCTACCGTTCCTTTTGCAGCGCCCTGGGCTGGTTTTTCAGCAGGACAATGCCAGACCACATACGGCACGTGTTGCTATGAACTGTCTGCAAGCTTGTCAAACTCTTCCTTGGCCTGCCAGATCACCAGATCTCTCTCCCATCGAGCATGTCTGGGATATGATGGGAAGGCGAATGCATCTGGCATGGAATGTTGATGACCTCGTTCTACAATTGGATCGAATTTGGCAGGAAATACTGCAAGAGACCATCCGGGAGCTTATCGGTCTATGCCACGCCATGTGGCAGCTTGTATCCAGGCTAGAGGCGGGTCAACACCTTATTGAACTTGTTACTGTAACTCTGCAATAAATTATTAAATTGTTCTGAAATTTTAAACATTTACTATTCTGTACATTGTCTTCCTATCCACCAATTTTCGTTTCAATCGGACAACTCCTTCCAGGTGCGTCGATTTTTTTGTTACAGAGTGTAGATGAGTTTTCGAATTGTCATTTATGTAATAAAGACATTCTTTTATATACTACAATATATCTTTTTAACACATAAGTTCAGTTTCAAGAATGCGTGTCGCAACACTCACATTTTAGGCAGTGTAATGTAACTAAAAGTGCGAATAAAGTGAGAGAAGTGCGCACCTGATCGCCTTTGTCACCCTTCTCGCCCCTTTTTCCAAGTTTTCCTCTAGGGCCCTGAAAAGGCAGGTCATATCAACTCAGTCATTTATCCACCTTCAGTGGATAAATATTAAATTGCAACTTGACAGGAAATAAAATTTATACTTCTACCATCGTAACTTGAAGTTTAATTATGGAATATTTAGTATTCTTCTACTATGAAAATATTCCTTTGAATTTATAATGATTAAAATTTTTAAACGAAAAATATTTTCGTTGAAATAAATCATTCTTATTTAAGGTATCATTTAAGTATTTCCAACAATTAACGCTGTTGTCTCAATAGAAAATCTCAAACTCATATAATGATTATTTATGATAGGCTGAAATAAATATTATGACACATTATTAATGACACATTTTGTTAGTAATATTTTTTGTCGGCTTATTTTGATTTTATAAATTATTTCATTTTATTGTACTTTTAATGGATTAGTGGGGTTTTATTACTTTTATTCTTCAAAAATTTATTTATTTTATTTTTAAAATTTTAAGATCATAAAATTGAGTTTATAAGTCAGCATTATAAATTCTTATTATCTTTAGCATTCTAAGTTTTCTAGGAATGTCTTAAGAAAAAAATAAACTAACAAACCATAACTAAAAAAAATAATGATGCACAAACCTTCATATACACTGTTTTTGATATTAATGTTGAGGAGCCTTCTAAAATATTGACACACACAATATTTTTGTGTCAAATTAATGATAATTACGTTTATAAAAATGAGTTCTTACTCAATTAATGAGGTAATAGTGTGTTTTCGGTTCACTTTCTTGAAAGAATAAATATATCTGTGGCCCTCAAGGTTGTAGTTCCTTAAGTAGAACAATTATTTTTATTATAAAGTGCTAGTTACAACTGTGCCAGAAATACCAGTGCATGAAACATGCAACATGTGATCAGTGCAAATAAATGCGTGAACATAAAAAATATTCATGCTAATAAATATATATATAAATTTCATAATAATTTGTAAAGAATATTTTCAATTTCACAAAAAATGGTAAATAAAAGTTTAGTTTCTTTATATTAACTCACTGGTGGACCACCTTCTCCTCTTTCACCTTTCAAACCCTGAAAGAAGACCAATATTTATACATATTTTAAAATTTTCAAATTAAACATCACTTAAACAAAAAAATGACAGAAATTCACAAATATGACAACAGGGGAAAGCATTGAGATCTCAGGCAGTTTTCAATCATTGCATTGAAGAATTTTCAATAGAGACGGAAAAGTATTAAGCTTTGCGCAGAATATTGTGCATTAGAAAATAAAAGCCAGTTTCAAAACAGAAAAACGCCATAATACTTTTAAATGAGGCATTCCTGATATATTAAGAGGATAAAATATTTTTCAGCATCATAATTTGCGTAGTAAAAACAGATAAATTTCTTCAATGAATTTTTTAAAAATGTCTATTAAAACGTATAAGAAACAATATATTGGTTTCGTAAGTTGTCAAACACGCCAACTTGTTTCTATTCTGAATAATATTATTAGATTTTTAGAATGATTTACAGCCTACTGTAAGGATATTAAAGTATGGAATAAGGTTTATTTAGATTAAATTCTTAAATACATTACTGCTAGTAGATGTTTTAATATATGTCATATTAATGTCTCTTTTTAAGAAAACTTGTTCCGTTCAAACTTCAGAATCAAGACAAATGTAGTCACCAAAATGCTAATAACTACGAGCTACATGATGATATCATTTACACAGCCATTTTGCTGTTTAATTTGGAGTAAGCGTATTTATTACGCAAAAGAAGAGAAATAAGTTAAAAGCAAACCATAAAGGTACTCAATATGGCTTCAGAAATGCCTTTTGAACTCATAGGAAAAAGTATATTTTATAACACAAAATTGTGAAGTAATGAAGTGCACATGAAGGAAACTAAAATTATCTTCCAGGCCAAATAATAACGAAATATTAAAATTGCGATAGTGAAAAAAAATAAACATTTAATTTTTCCACAATTTATTTTGACGCCAGGGAGAATTGTGGTTTTATTAAGTAATTTTTCTAAGCACAAGCACCTATTTTATGACAATAGCGTTGCTATTTTCAATTTATTAGGGGGATGCAGGGTTTTTTTAAAAAGTGAATTCACATTTTTACATCGTCTGAAACAATGATTTAAATCAATCAATGGTCAATTCGGGCTGCGATTATTAATTTTTCTGAATTTTTACACAGCTCAATAATTAGGTACCTGCAAGCGAAGTCAGGCCTGGGTGTTGAATCTGATTGGTTACTGAATCGGGGCATTTGTTTATGACATGATTCAGCAGCAAATAAGTTTCGACACCCAAACGTGACGTAACCTGCAGGGACGCGAATAAAATTTAATACGAAACCTGATTTAGCATGATAATAAACCAAGCCTAATAGCTGTAACGTTAACACGCTATCTTGTTTATACCCAACCAGTTGATTTCAGTGATCTTCTTCTCGAGTTACAGGCACCCAATTCTTTGAGAAATAACTTTAAAAAAGTTTCAAAATTTGTTTTGCTACAATTCCAATGTTTCAAAATTTGATTTGCTACAATTCTAATTAAATTTAAGCAAATGGAATATTAAGAGAGTGGGATGTTAAAAAAAACTTCGATATGTCTTATTAAATTTGACAACAAAAGTTTAAAATTTAAAAGCACTTCAGAAAAACTTCCATTTATATATATATTGTANTATATATATATACTATAGTTTTTTTTTCATTTTATTGTTAAACTTTTCTCATTCAAAATTAAGAACTTTTCATCTCATTAAAAAACTTGACACAAAAATAAAATGGAAAATTTAATAAACGAAGCAATATTTTATTAAAATTTAATTTAATAAATAATTTGCTAAATGATTCTTTGTGTTAAAAAAATAATTTTATTTTTTTCCAAGAAACAGAGAAAATTATGCCTAATTCGAATTTTTTATAACAACACATGATTGGTTTTCAAATCTTAAAAAAATAATTATCACTAAAGCAGAGGTCCTGCAAGCATATTTGCATAGTTTATAAAAATACTGACTTTTTTTAAAATAATAATTTTTATTAAAAGTATAACTTTAAACACCGCTATGACATGTTAATAAGGAAGTATACGCTGGATAATTAAATAAACTTTTTATGCTTGCAAGCTATTGAAAAAGAGCTAATTGAGAAAAAAGATGGCAACAAAAGAATAATAAAAATAAAAATTAATTTACCGGCAAACCAGGTATGCCATCAGTCCCCTATTTCAAGAATAAAAATGGAATAATATATAAAAAAAAGTAAAAATGAACATAAAATTAAATCATAAAAAGTAAGAAAAAATTGAGAGTTCATTGTTTAAGAAAACTATTTTCTTTTTTCCTGGAGTAATCTTTAAGTCTTTTGTCTAAGGTTGTGAAATTGACTTAAAAATACAAACTTCAAAATTATAAAACAGTACGTACGTACATTTTCTCAAATAAAAATACTTCTCCCTAAAATTTTATATTTCTTTCATTTGAAAATAAAAAAAATCCACTGCAGTCAAATATTTTCATTTTTGTTAAGAATTATTTTAAACATCCCCAAAACACAACTTAGTTTTGATATATTATCTAAGATATTACTATGGATAATAATAGAAACGTAATGTTTCCTAAAATATTTCTAAAACCTTGGCTTCACTTGTAATTTTTAATTTTTTTGAAAATCTGTTCATTTCGGATCCAATAAAAGAAATTTCATTAAAAATCCTGGAAAGTTTCATTACTGTGCATCATACTGTATAAGGGAAAGGATAACCTTGTCAAGTCTTAGAGGATGAGGTTTGAGCACTGGTAGATTAATAAAATAAAATTAGAAATGTAATGCAAAAACATCCATTTATCTTTAATTTATAAACCATAATCAATTATGAGCAGTACAAAATTATTATTTATTTATCTCAATGTATGTAATTTTGTTAAGTTTTTATTATCTTACTTGATTAGTTTAATCCCTAATAAATAGATGGTTCCATTTTTTTTGAGTCATAATTTGCTTAAACATTTTGCAATGTTTATAAAATACTTTAGAAACGTAAAGGAAAGATTTCAATTGAAAAATTATTGGCGATGAACATTTAATACAGCGTTTTAAGCAATAAATAAACACATCTCTGGGGCATTGTACAATTTAAATATATTGTAACTTTCTTAAACTATATTGTAACTAAATTGCAATTTTTTCAAACTATTTTTTGCAATTATTTTTGTTGTAAAGGAATTTTTCAGTTTCATAATTAAAATAAAATCTTTTTATTTAAGGGATATTTTGACAGTAAGACTCAATTTAAAAGTTTTGCATCATACATACTGAAGTGTCAAGGGAAATGTTTAACATTTTAGCGTATTATTAAAGGGAGGAAAATGTTAAATGAAAATAAAAGATTATGAAGCTCTATAAATGGAAGGAAATTATTAGAAAATTCTTAGTATAAAGAAGTAAATTTGTGGAATCACTAAAACTTATGCAATAAGAAAAAGTATTTTTTATTAATTAAATAGACTGACATCACAAATACAGTTGAAATGGTAATAGTAAGTTAAATAATTGAGGTAAAAACTTTCTATAGTTAAAAGTCTCAAATTTTTATATTTAAAAAATATTATATAATTACAAGTATATATTTAAATATTAAAATACATTTTTGGATAAATGTATAAAAATGTAAATGTAAATAAAAGTGTATTTTTTTAATACGTAAAAGATATGTATATCCACTCACTGGTAAACCTGGCTCTCCTTTTTCACCTTTACTGCCTGGTTCACCTCTCTCACCCTAAAAAAATTTCAATTTTTTTAAAAACGATACTTATTGAGTTAAAAAGACAAAAATATTTATAAGATATGGTTAGAACTCCTGTGCCTGACGAAGTTAAGGGGTTACGACTTAACGGTTTGCAATCTTTTATTGGCTGAGTGCCAAAATTTCCCAAAACAGAAATTTCCTTGTAAACTTAATATGGACTGATAGACAAGGTAGTACCATTATTCGGTAGAGTTTAAAAAGCATAGATATGTACACCATTTTTTTGCTGTAAATATTTTTTCATTATTTAAAGTGTCAGTTATATGCAAAATAAATGCTTAATAACGATATATTTGGTAAATATTTAATTTTTAAAAATTATAATAACTATGTTTAGCACCTTTGCCAAGTCTTATTGATGCCTAATGGTTTGATATAGTCTTAAGTTTTTAGCTAAGTATTTCTTTCAAGTAGAAACTTTTGCTAGCAATAAGAATAAAGTTATATATTTATATTTAATAGAGATGAATTAGTTAATCAATAATTTACGTAACTTTTGAGTAGTTTGGCATGTACCGAGGAGCTTCATAAAGTTTGGTATTCTTTAACTAACATAATCTGAAAAATTTTGAAGTCGCTTATCGTAACTTTCTAACTACGTTTGACAGAGGAACTCTAGGCTATGTAAATTGTGGCACCATTGTGATTATATCAGCTTTGTGAATCAACTTACTTTCATTCCGTCCAAACCAGGAGGTCCCTGCAATAAAAGTTAATTTTAGACGCCGAATAACAATAGTAAATTTGATTACAATAACATCCCTGAAAACAGAATTAAATGTATTTAATGTAACAAAGAAAATTAGTGTATTAGTTTGTTACGGTGAATGTTATAATGCTGATGTGCCGTGTTAGTTTCATTAGATGCTACAAATAATTCCCCTAAAAATAAAAAAAAAGGAAATGTAAAATATAAGAAAGCATTCAAAAGTAAAGTCAAAACAAAGAATTTTAGTGATTAAATAAATAAAATATAAAGTGAAATGTAAAATAAATAAAGCCTCTTTTTTTATGAAAATAATGAAAAAAGTGCTAATTCCCACTGTTATTCTTTTCTTAATAAAATTTATCATGATACAAACCATAAGCCCATGTTTTCCATCTGCTCCAGGAGGTCCATGGTCGCCTTGTACACCAACAGGGCCCTTAACAGAGAAAAAGCGTTTGTTAATAAAATAATATGTATTTTTGTTTGAATGTAGAAACTCTATTAGCTTTAAAAATTATGAAGTTGAAAAGTTCACCAGGCAAACCATACAAGCTTTAAAATTTATATTAAGATATATGTTTAAATATGTTTGTCATCAAGAATTCTATAAGTCACCTACTGCTGCACATTGTTGGATTCTTTAGCATACATTTAACTTTAATACTACCAAAATTCTTCTCCCCTTGTCATATTAGTTCATTTTGAAGCTCTAGAATCTTGCTTTACTCAGATGAATGTTAATTCCCTAATTAACGACATGAGATATTGAAACCCTCCACACCACTTGGAAATGCATCCTCCGTGGTTTGTCTCTTTAGCCATTTTCATTTTCCGCAATTACCATGGCTTTTATTGCTTTATTTCTAAGATTTATCGTATCTTTCATACATTCATTGGCAATTTTGAGCTTTCTTTCAATTTTGTTTCATTTTTCTCATTCACGTTCTTTTGGAATGTTTATTTTAACTTAAACGAAACAATTCGAATTTTCTATCTTGGTAATTTTTGAAGTTAAAGAAGTCCGTTATCAGAACTCCATCCTGTTTATCTTTCCATTTTAGCCTCTTGGAATTATTTATATTCATTTAATGTGTATTTGATGCTTCCAATGACAAAACTGAAACTTTATGTTCTTTTACTCTTAAGTTTACTTTATGGTATGTTACGAAAATTCGACAATAAAATGGCTGAAAACATCCCGAAAACGTTTTGATTTAGCTTGTGCAAGCGCTATTGAAATATTTTATAAATATTTCTAGTCTCTCCGAGGTAAATCACCCCTGTAATATTTAAAAGATTACAACTCGAGAATAATTTCTCTGACAACCAAAAGGAAACTTCTAAAGAATTACCCAGTAAATGTAACCAAAAAAGTGTTTCTTCTGAAAAAATTAATTTCAATGTATTTTTTGACAAAATCTTTCACATGTTACTATAAATTGTATCAGAAAACTCCCCATGTCTCTTCTATACATTTTCTATTTTTTGAGGAAAAGGGGAAGGGCAGAATTTCTTCTATATAGGCAAGTACGACATACATTCCGAGTATTTTTTTAGGTGGAATAGAATGGTATAATTTCGAAACGATCGAACTAATGGCTTAAAAGCTATACGCTTTTCCTATATATTAAGAGCACAAATTTGTACTTATATCTATTAACAAACCTAAAATCGCTATCTAAAATCGTGAAACATTGCTTCTACATATTTTTTCACACTGAAAGTAATGATACTACAAACGTATCAATAAAGTTCAATACAACGTATAATATAATATAGTTACGTATACGTATAATATAGTTCAGAAGATGCAAAAGTTTCTGTGCCTAAAAAGTACCACTTTTAACATGTACTTTTATTTTATATAATTACCGTGGTTGAACAGTTAACATAATTTTGGGTTTACGACTACTAATGTTCAGCTCCGTAGTCTTGTAATTTGGAATCAATCTCAATTGATCAGTACCTCAGAGGTATGATTTGTTATGAGAACATGGAGGACTTTGTGACCTGCCAGATTTAACGCACACCACTCCCCATTTACTACTTTGGCCGGAGGGGAGCAAACTCACGACGTCTTTTACACGGGCCCAGTGCGCTACCAACTAGGCTATCCCGGCAGTGAGATGTACTTATGTATGCATTTTACATTGCTATCCAGGAATAATCTGAACCAGAAAAGTATATTTTCCGATGTAATTTTCACACAAAGTCAAACGTGGCTGATGCCAAGACAATTGCACTAATAGTTTAGAAGCTATAAGGGTTTTCTTCATAATAAGTGCATATTTATACAAAAAAATTCACCTTTAAAATATTATTCTTTTGATTCACGTTTGATCTCATTAGATTAAATGAAGGAAAAATACATTTAAATATTTATCACAATTGTCTCCATAGTATTATGTGATACGTAAATAAGTGCAAATAGAAAATTGTACTTTTGTGCATAAAACGCTTATAGCTTCAAAAATGCTAGTCTATAGTCTTGTGTTTAGTTCATTCAACAGCAATTTTTTTCAACAAAATTTCAGCAAAGGATAGACCTTATATGCTCAAATGGTTTCTCTATAGTAATGTAAAGCATATACGTCAGCATGTGTAAAAAGTAGTACAAACTCTTACAGCTTTTGATATAATTTTCTATTAACTTGTGTACAGTCTCATTCGATTTAGCATGAAAAAATATATCGAAAAATGTCTCCCTTGTATAGATAGCAGTATCATATGTATTAATAGTTACATGTCCAAATTGTACATAGAACTATTATAACTTCAAAACTATTTATTTGATCGTCTCGAAATCGGTATTATTTAATTCTAATAAATAAGAGAAGAGAGGGGAAGTGTTCAGGTATTATTTATAATAACTTTAAAAAGCTATTTGTCAAAAAATATTCTGTGTATTAATTTTACCGAAGAAAAAAAAATTACTGGACTAAAAATATTTCTAAAATTATACTGTGTTGTGAGTTCTTTTTAAATGTATTTGAGACATTTTCTGTGGACTGACTTATGCTCGAATGCATTTATTTACAAAAATTTGACGTGATTAGTTTAGTTCTTTAAAAACAGGGTACTGGAACTTAAAAATAATTTAACATAAATTAAGGTATTGGGTGTACAAATTAGTTTGGTCCGTTTTTTTTGTGTGATCAAAAATGCTTTTATTTCAGAACAAAATGAATGAATAGGCTAATCAAAGTATTGTTCATCGCTGGCTACTACTTTTTCCCACCTCTCAGGCAATTTTCGAATTCCATCTCGAAAAAATTTCTCGTCTTTTGAGACGATCCAAGTTAGGAGCCAATTTTCGATTTCTGCAAAAGAAATGAACTGGTGACTTGCCAAATCGTGCTGCATCTGTCGGAACAACCAGTAATCAGACGGAGCAATGTCCAGCAAATACATCGGGTGCGGTAAAATATCCCACTTGAGCGTTTTCAAATAATTTTTTACGACTTTTGAATAATCAGGCTGACTCTTATTAGGCAGAAAAATAACTTTGTCATGTCTTTGCTCGTATTCCGGCCGTTTTTCCCGTAATGCACGGCTCAAACGAATCAATTGTAGTCTATACCGATCAGCCGTAATGGAATCGTCAGGTTGTAGCAGCTCATAGTANTATTAATTTATGTTTTATAAAGAAACTGATATTGAGTCAAGTATAAAAAAAACTCACAAATTTTACATACTTAATTAGGTATGTGTGATTTGCGTATTGAGAACTGCTTTTTTTCTCGACCCACAATCGACCCTTCCGATTCGGATCGACCCCCATTCGCCCCCCTGTCTCAGAAACCCCGCTTTTGCTAAATAGACCCCTGAGGGTCTATATAGACCACTTTGGCGACCTCTGGCTTAGATCTTTAAAAACAAGGTACTTTAGCTTAAAAATAATTAAAGATAAATTAAGGTACTAAAAGTATAACTTAAAAAGTGAATTTGAGTAATACTCACTGGAAGTCCCATTGGTCCAGGATCTCCTTTATCTCCTTTGTCACCCTGCAAAAATTTGTTTGAATTATAATTTTATTCCAATTTTAATCATAAGTTTTCTGAAATTAGATACAAATTTCAAGAAAAAACATAAAAGGCAATTAATTTAATTAAAGGGTATTGATTTTGAAAAAAAATGATTTCCGAAATTGACTTACTGGTTCACCTTTTTGACCATCAACTCCCTTGTCTCCTTTGATTCCTGGTGGTCCTTGTAAGCCTTGAGGTCCCTATAAAAAAAGAAACTGAATTAATCTAAGCAATGGTATATAATTATTTTTAAATGTAAATTATGTTTTTAAATAACATTTTAAAAGTAAAGCATGTTACTCTCTCTCTCTTCAATTTTTAAATTTTTAGAATGAAAATATATTAAAATGACCTATATATAATTTTCTCCTTTAGTATGACTGAGAAATCTCGTGACATTATTTGTACAACATGCAACATAGTTTCAATGTTTGTAAAATAGACTACCATTAAAAAAATAAATGAATTTAGTTTTCGAAAAATTTACATTGGAGAAAAACTCTTTTTAAAATTACAAATCACGTGTGTCATTTTTGAGCTCTTTACAACTTAAGTTAAAAAATGCTTCGTTCTAAGTCATTGAAAAATTTGATAACCTTTTATCTGAATTAAATTAGTTTGACTTATTGGATTGTGTTGTAAATTAAAGTAAAAATCGTGGCAATTTGACTTTAAAGTCTCATGCAATATTAGAAAATCATAAATATTTAAATATAATAGCTCATCAATTCTTTTATATGACATAATTCCAAAGTTCAGTACATTTTATATTACTTCGCGGAAATATTTTTTTAAAATATAAAATTCATATTTAAAGTTATCTAAACTATTGGTATACAGGATTATGAATCAAGTAAATTATGGTTTTCTGAAGTCAACTGATTGACGAAAATTAGGAGATTAGTATAAGTTCTTTAAGTCTTTAAATATAATAATAAATTATTAAACATTTAATTTTAAACATTTGTTGAATTTCTTTTTAAAATACGGAGAAGTTTTAATCATCTCAAAATAAGAAGGGGTACCTGTAACCAACTTAAAAAACACGAAAAATGGTGGAAGGATACGGAATCATTACTTCAAAAATAATAAATTATCGCAGACTAATGCATTATTACAAAAGAGAAAAAAGATGTTAAACATTCTTTACCGGAGGGCCGGACGGTCCTGGTGGTCCCACTACCTATAAAAAAAAGAAACAGAACGAGAAAATATTTCTCCTAAGAAGTTACAAATAAAATTTAATTGAAAGAAAAAAGTTAAATGCAAAAGCTATAACGTGTACAATTGCTTTGATTTTCAGCAGTATTTTCTTTATAAATAATAAATGCATGAAATTGCTTAGGATTATTTTTATATTAGCTTTAATATTATTTATTATAACTATTTAACTATTTACTTTACACTTTAGCTAAAAGCGTGAAAAAAATTCTAAAAAATACTGTTCAAATATAATTTAATTTATTATTTTTTTAAATCATTTCTTTATACTGCAAACATATTTGTTTGTTTATTTATTTAAGCTTTTTTTTCAGAGATAACTTTTAATTTGAATATTTGGAGCTAAAGAGCTGAAAATTCACTGTTCAGCAAGTTAAAAACATTTTGAATTCAAGATGAATATCTTAAAGGTAAGTTAATACTTAATATTACATTCGATTAAACATTTTGATAATATTATAACAAAACAGCAAACCATGCAGATAAAATTAAAATTGAACATAATTACCATATCACTAGTGAAAGCTCCGTAGCGGCTGTCAGACTGAAAGGGAGCAAAGGCCTAAATCAATTTTAGACCAATGAGCACTGATTAATAAAAGTATTGATATAGCAGGTAGTTCATATGTTTGAAATGTATTTGCAAAATAAAGTGTACTCACTTGTTTTATGTACTTGATAGGCGACTGAAAAGACATAAAAAACATTTCTTAGTTTGGAAATGAAATAACTGAAATCTATAAATTAAGTTAAAGTTAATATTTAACTGACCGTATCTCCTTTGTCTCCCTTTTCCCCAGGCATTCCATGCTTTCCCTGTAAAAAAAATCAAATTATTATCAGATTCAGATTATTAGATCATATTCAGATTATTTTAAGTTGATACATGGTTATTAACATTCAAGGCAATCAATTAAATTGTAGCATTTACAAACAGTGCTTTAATGCAATGGTGTTAAGCTGATACATGCTTATGTTATTATTGACATTTAAGACAAACAATGAAATTGTAGCAGTTAAAAATAGTGCTGTAATGTAACAGTAAGTTGACACGGGCTTATATTATTATTAACATTTAAAGCAATCAATGAAATTGTGGTAGTTAAAAACAGTACTTCAATGTAACTGTGTTAAGCTGATACATGCTTATATTATTATCAACTTTCAAGATAATTAATGAAATTACTGTAGTTGAAAACAGTGCTTTAATGTAACAGTAAGTTGATAATACTATTATTATTATCCCTCAAGACAATCAATGAAATTGTTGTAGTTAAAAAAAGTACTTTAATATTATAGTACACTTGTTTTCTAGAAAACATAATTACTTTTGGGAATAAAATAACACCTTTTAAAAATAACATTATTCGTAAGACTATTGGTTGATCTTTGACCAATATGGAAAGGTGGTAAATTAAAAATGCCTCCTGGTCATAACTCAGAAACTTCCAGTACCGATTGAGGGTGTGTAATTTTCTAATATTAAAATTTTTATTGCTAAATTTTTCTTTTTAATAAATTATAACGACAAAGGCGTTTACATTATTATAAACTTATTTGAGTGTAATTTTGCACTAGTTTTATTTAAATTGTTTTACAGTAAAATTATTTAACTATTTGAGTATTTCGCTTACCACGCGTGATAATTTATTTAGTTTTTGCCACTTTTTCTTGGTTTTAAGACAGCATACATCTAATAATGCTAACCAGAATTAATATGATCAAAAAATCCCAATAATGAACTAAGACTTTGAAAGAACATTATTTGTATATATGACATTTACAATATTTTTAATAACTAGCAAAATCGATATAATCTAAAAATAGTTTTACTGTATTAATTTTAAATTTTATTTTAAATTATATTCATTATATTTCTTGCAATATCCCCTTTTAAATGCAAATATTTTCCATTTTTCGTACGCAGAATTAACGATTTTAAATTAATATGCGAGGATTAGGATATTTTGTACGTTCATTTAAATGACAGTCAAAATCAATTGCGAAATATTATAAGCTTTTTTCTTTTGTCTTGAAACAAACAAAAAGTTCTTTTTCTTTTTGCCAAAGCAAATGATTTTTTTTTAAAATTTACTTTTAGACTGTGATTAATAATTGTAACAGCTTAATATGAATTATAATTTGATATTAATTAAATTTACAATATATTATGGATGCAAAATTTTTTTTTGAAGTATTATTTTTCCGTAATCAACTTTTGAAATAAACATATACTTTAAACATAAAGTTTTGTTTAAAATTTTATTTACTTTTATTTTACGGAATAAAGTTTACGGAAGAAACGATTCCCAACTTACTGGTGGTCCAGGTAATCCAGGAGGTCCCATCAAACCTGGTGGTCCAAGATCCCCAGTATTTCCCTTTTCTCCTTTAGGACCTAATTGACCCTGAAATTTTGAAACACAACTAAACTAAAAAAATAATATCATATTTATTAAAGAGTACTGAGTTAGCATGAAAATTATTTCATTAATAAATACCTTATTCCTCAGAAAAAAATTCAATTAAAAGAAAGTTTGTTAAATTGAAATTTAATACTAATTAAAATAAGGATAGTTTTGTTCTACATATTTATTTAAATGGAATGCAACTTAAAGATAAAAAGAAAATGTGAAAATTATAGAGTGACATTACTATTGAAATGACTATTTAAAAATTTTATGAATTGTTTTTTAAAAATTTAACAAATTTCACTAAAGATAATCAAAGACAGACAAATTACAATCAAAGCAAACAAATTTAAAAGTAGAACTTATTTTACATTTTTTAAAATCTTTTTTCTTGTATATTTTTATATAAAAAAATTGGTTAATTTTTGAAAGATTAAGTAAAATAGAAATAGTAATTTTTATAGATTGCTATATAACTTATGATTGCGATGATAGTTTTTTTTATCGTACTTAAGCTTTACATTATGATTGGATCAAAACTTTTGATCGTACTTAACTCATGATTTTAATTTAATTTTTTGAGTATCATATAGATGTTCGGAATTGTTTCCTCAATTAATAGATGTATCCCCAGAAACATTAAATTTTTGTCTGCATCTTTGGAGAATAGATTTTCTAAAATAGCATTCAATTCAACATCACTGCGGAATAGTTTTTATCTCTCACACATTTGGGAACATATTTTGCACCCTTGAAGCATAGAATTTTATCCCACATTCCAGCAGGACAGATTTTCCCCCCAAATACTAAGGAAATAAATTTCTTTCATGTTAATCGAATTTTCTCCTCTAGGGGATAGAATTTCTTCTCACATCCCTGAAGAATAGACTTTTTTCCTCACGGTACAAAATGTTCCTTAGATAGCTACCTTTAAACGTTCTGCAATCAAAATTATTATAATGTTGTAAAAGGCCATAATCAAAGATTTAATAAATAATTTGTTTTGAATCCATATGAAATTTATGCCAAAGACATTATTAGAAATTTTGGAGCTTGTTGAACCGTTATAGCACTCATATTACTGCATTTTTTATATGCTGCTGAGTTGGACCAAGGGGTTGAACTTCAATAGCAACTGTCTGTATCCAAGTTTGCTCATAACCTAAATTTAATCTGTTGTAACAGAACAACTCTACTAATCAAGAGGGCACTAACAATATATCTAATTGCTTACGTTGCTTAACATCTTTATATGGCGCTGAGTATGACTAAGGTTGAACTTGATTGTAACCGTCTGTATCCAAGCTTGCTCATAACCTTAATTTAATCTGTTGTAACAGATCAACTCTACTGATCAAGAAGGCACTAACAAGATATCTAATTGCTTACGTTGCTTAACATCTTTAAATGATGCTGAGTATGACTAAGGTTGAACCTGATTGTAACAGTCTGTATGCAGGCTTGCTCGTTACCTAAATTTAATCTATTGTAACAGATCAACTCTAGTGATCCAGAAGGCTCTAACAAGATATCGAATCACTTACGTTGCGCAACATCTTTGTATGGCGCTGTGTAAAAACCAAGATTGAGCTTGATTGTAACCTTTGTATCTATGCTTGCCTACAACCTAAATTTAATCTGTAATCCAGAGGGTGTTAACAAGATATCTAATCGCTTACGTCAATTTTGATTGTAAATTATTATCATAAGAAGCACGTCCTAGTTTATTTGGCAGCAAAAGAATAAGAGAAATCGTAGTTAGGAATTTAATTAAATTGATAATTGAATGTTGTGGCGAGTATTATTTTTACCTACTCTATATTTGGGATGTCTTGTTCTGGAAGAAATATTTCTGTCATTTGCATGTACGATGGGATAGATCATTTTAATATTAGATATTGAGTATCATTAGCAGTCTTGGACTGACCATTTGAATTTTGATGGGTAAATGAAGTTATTGTGTATTTGAAATTATTCAATATAATAATTTACATAGATATACATAGATAATTTACATAGAATATAATAATTTAAGCAGTATTGCTTTGTGATAATCCATTTTAGTATAATGAGACAGCCTAATACTTAACAGTTGAGTTAATAATCTGATACAGCCCTGGTTGAGCTAGATTTGCCCCTCCTCGTAAACATGTTTTACAATAATCTGGTTCAACTTGAATGATAACATGATTAAATTTAACACCTTATAAAATTGCAGCAACTTTGCATTGTATAAAGTACCAACATTACGGTTCAACGTTAAATTGATTTTTCTGTGCGTATACCGTAAAATAAATCAGTTAAAGTGTCCAAATCAAATGATATTTGTTTCTAAAAATGATTTGGAACTATATGTTTTTGGCTTATGTATAATAATAATAATGACAAATATATATCTATAATCATTTCATACTTATTTTGATGCTCTAAAATTCTTGAAAGTTAGCATGATTTTCTTTTAAAAGACTGTGAGAAAAGAATTTCGCATCTGAAGCAGAAGACCTTTTGGTAAGGGGACATATATATTTTTTATATTGTGAACTAGATTCATGATTCAGGTTTGGTGAAAGAATATTCATTCTTGATTTTATTTACACGCTTCAATGCGTATATATAGTTGCATCATCAACATTGAAGAAGGAGCGAGGCAAAAAAATAATAGTCTGGGGCTTTTGGAGAACAACATTTTTGACAAGGTATTGAACTGGAAAAATAAGAGGGCCAGAACCTTTTTTTCCCTTTGTGATTAAAATTCGATGCATAATGTTTGCTAAAAGTGAAAATCGAATTCGGATTCTGTAGTGCGTATGAAGCATATTTATTAAATAAAGTAATTGGCTAAAACGTTTATTTATTGGTCTTTAATTTTTTATTATAAATAATAAAAAATTTCCGATTTTTCTTTCTGATTTTCAATTACATGTTTCATTAACCCCATTCTCGTATCCCTCAAAAACGTTCAATTTGTATAAGTCTATACCGGAAAAAGCACTGACATCTATGATCATTCAAGTTAGCTTTCGTAGTTTTTCTAATTTTAAGATAAGCTGAATTTATTAGTATTTTTTTTAATTTACAAAATGTGAAATTACAATTCATCAAAGTAAAAAAGAGTTAAAGAATAGTTACAAACCCTGATAGTAGAGTAAGGTTTATTTTCACTCTGTAAATTACAACCTTTTCATGTAAATCAACAAATGATTTTAATACGGTTCACGTGTAAAAATTATAACCTTAAAGCGAGATATGTGACAATCTGCTCTATTCTACGCAAATTACTCTATTTTAAGACCTTATTGTTGTTGTTGTTGTTCATTTACGTCGCACTTGGGCTGCACAATGGGCTATTGGCGATGGTTTGGGAAACATCCCTTAGGATGATCCGAAGACATGCCATCGCAATTTTGATCCTCTGCAGAGGGGATGGCACCCCCGCTTCGGNACCGGTTATCTTTTCACCAATGGTTTCACAAATTTTCTTATGGCATGTATTGTTTTGATAAATCACAATTGAACATTTAAATCTTTGAGGTAGATTCGATACCTGTTTTCTCCGAGCGGAGCTCGGTCACCCGCTGGTATAAAGTAATTATAACGTTTGCTACGTTTTATAAGTTCAGCTAAAATCCACCTTGTCATAAGATTTTTTCGTTGACTAGTAATTTGATACTAGTACTATTGATAGTTTTTAATGCTACATTTTATAACTTCTTATTTCATAAAAAATTTTCTTTTCCTTTTTTTTAAAGAAGAATAATTTGCCTTATTATACATGAGAAAAGACAGCTCTTCCTATAAAAGTACGACTTATAATTAAAAATATCGTTTAAAATGCAATAGCTAAATTTTTAGTAACTACTTATAGCAGTGTTTCCCAAAGTGTGGTACACGTACCCTCAAGGGTACGGGAACAGTTTAGCGGGGGTACGTGTTCTTATGCAAAATACCTTGCAACAAACGAAAATTTCAAAATTTTTTATTTAAAAATAAAGCTAGTCATGAAAATTTATGATTATGTATTTTTCTATTGGTTATTTTTTTGCAGAGTTAACAGTTAGTAAATAGTGATATCAACAGCCAGTTGTGATTTTTAACTCTATTGCAATTTTTTATAGTAAAAAATACGTTCATTTTTTTATTGGTGGTACGCAGCGTTACGAAAAATTTAGAAAGGGTACACAAAAGTCTTAAGTTTATAGGAAACTGATTTATAGGAAACGAAATAAATAGCATATATCTTGTACTCAAAAAGAGAAACTACATATTTTTCTCTATATGACTAAGAAATTTATATGATGAGAGAAGTACTGATGCGAGTGAAAGTATTAATGAAGTTTCATATAAAGAAAACTAGCATACAATAAATTCTTATTTTTATCAAAACAAATAAGATGCAACTGATTATTTAACTTACTATTCGTGATATCATGAATGTAGGATATACAATAAAAACAAAAAATGAACGCAGTAATATAAATGTATTTTGTTAATATATAACAGCTAATAATATCATGGTAATAATAATAATTAATAAATTAGACAAATTGCTATATTTGAATGATGATATACGTGATACCATAACTGAATATCAGATATACCATAATTGAATAAATATTTCGATGGGGTGATAACAAAAGGGAGTAAGACTTCGTACTAGAAAGATAGAAGGCGTAGAAGTAGACTCTATCTAAGATATCATAGATGAATCGTTGACGGATCATAGCGTGTGATTGGATCCGTTGGAAAAAGCATATAATAGGCTGCAGTACATTTAAAGAAGAAAATTTGATGCAAAACAGATATACCAGAATTAAATCAGTCATTTTGTTTCACACAAAAAATGGTATTATGGGTATAATAACCTTTAGTAAATGATACAAAACATATATAACTTGAATAAATTTGGGAAACAACCTTCAAATAAATTGTTTCCTTGTCAGATCTACTTTTTTCTAGGAAATAGAAGGAAATTTTTATGCTCGAACACACGCATATTAAATGTACGCATATAAATAAATACGTACATTCTATGCACGTACATGAATACAAATCTATATCTTATGTACGGTTTTAAGTGTTTCACGTACACAATATGTACGTACGTACGCTGTACATAAAAGGAATCATATATATAAAGGCACGCTGTATGCACAAACGCATGTGCGTTGTACATAAATAGATTATAATTACATAGTATATGCATACATTCGCACATAGTCTGCACATACAGACATGCAATGGACAAATGATGTGTACAAATAAACATAGACGGTATGTGTATATAAACTGATGTATTGGGTGTTAATTTAGTAAAGTTAAATTCCTTTTGGGGAAAATTATTAAGTTCTTCTTATATTTCTATTTCTTATATATGAAAATTCACAAAAAAATAAGATTGTCTATTTTAAAAATTAAAAAAATTGTATAAATAAAAAAACGATCAAAGCACTACCAAAAAAGGAAACAACACGTACGTTTTAACTTAATGACCAAAAACTCGTTAGCTAAGATTAATTTGTAGTTCAAAACTAGTTAAGGCTTCAAAAACCAAAATATTCTAACAATTTAAAACAAATAATAATTTAGGTTACGGAATCACGTAAAAAAGAATTTTCTGTAAACAAATAATTTTTTTGATCAATTCTGACTTATGACCATCGAAATACTGGTGGATAGATAACGTAATCTAGGATATGACCCCTGAAGTTTCATCAGATACCAGTTAAAAGTTTAACATCTTAATGCTAATTTTTCTTTTTATGTTATGTGTTTACACCTAAATGCACAAATGAAAAAAATAACATTTATTTAACACTCTTTTATCTAAAATTCAAAAATATTTCTTATTAAAAAATATAATTTTTTTTTTAGTTTTTTGAATAATTATAAAAGCTTTGAATTGATATTATAAAAAATTTTAAGATATTTCCAAAGTTAACAATTTTAAGTAATAAAATACCAATTTGAACGAAATATTTCGAATGATCCCTGAAAAAACTTTAAAACATGATTATTTTTAATATTCTTTTGAGATGCATTAGATGAAAAATTATTCAGAGTGCCTTTAATACCAACTATTAATTGCTTGTAAAAATATTAGAATTTCGCAGAATATAAGACACGCAATACGAAGTAGCCATAGTTACTCACTGGAAGACCGGGAGCACCTTGTGGTCCGGGAGCTCCATCAACTCCATCTAAACCTGGTGGACCCATATGACCTCTTTCACCCTAAAAGAAAGTTATATAAAGTTGCTAAGCATAAAAAATAAAAATAGAGATTTTTTCCCCATAAAATATTATAAATTGCGTACTTGAAATCCAGGCAAACCGATCACACCTTTTTGTCCCTTTTCACCTTTTTCTCCTGTAGCTCCCCGATCACCTTTTGGTCCAGTCTCCCCAGGTAAACCTGGAGGAGCACTTTTTCCTGGTTTTCCCTATAAATATAAGAGCAACAATTTTGTAATGTATTAATGAAGATTCTAGAGGGAAATTACATACACCACAATTCTCCATTGGCAATATTTGATATATACACTGAGTGGCCAAATTATTATGACCACCCCTTCAGTACGGCGCAATGCTCCCCTATACGGCACAATGTGCGTCAAACAGTTCATTCAGAGACGTTCACAGTTGCTCCTTGATTAAGATCACTTGCAATTTGTCACACTGTTGCTATCCTGTGGCGCTGCACAACCCTGGCCAGCCTTCTCTCTGATCGAGCATTCAGTACCCTGTGACGACCACAAGTCTGACGTTGAGACCCGGTTTTTTGCTTGATTGTTCATTCTTTGTACACATTAACAACTGCCGCTCTAGAACACTTCACAAGTGCAGCCGTTTTGCTGATGCTCGTTCCGACACATCTCGCACCCACAATCATTCCACGTTGAAAGTCAGTTAAATCACTTTTCTTTCCCATATCTGAGCAAGCAACACAGTATAACTGATGACTCACTTGTCCAGCATTCCCGTGTTATGGTTATCTTGCCCTCTAGCGGCAACGCTGTGACGCAATAACTCATTTGCATAAAACTCTGAGGTGGTCATAATAATTTGGCCACTCAGTATGACATGAGGGAATGNATGCACAGGGCAGAGGGGGATCCTGCCTTCACTATTGCACGCCACACCGGCCCTCAACAAGGCATTATGGTCTGGGGTGCCATTTCCTTTGACAGCCGGATCCCTTTGGTCATCATTAGAGGTACACTTACTGTACAGCGGTACGTCGACGACATCCTAAGACTTATTTTGCTACCGTTCCTTTTGCAGCGCCCTGGGCTGGTTTTTCAGCAGGACAATGCCAGATCACATACGGCACGCGTTGCTATGAACTGTCTGCAATCTTGTCAAACTTTTCCTTGGCCTGCCAGATCACCAGATCTCTCTCCCATCGAGCATGACTGGGATATGATGGGAAGGCGATTGGATCTGGGCACAGAATGTTGATGACCTCGTTCGACAATTGGATCGAATTTGGCAGGAAATACCACAAGAGACCATCCGGGAGCTTTATCGGTCTATGCCACGCCGTGTGGCAGCTTGTATCCAGGCGCTAGAGGCAGGTCAACACCTTATTGAACTTGTTACTGTAACGTCTGTAACTCTGCAATAAACTATTCAATTGTTCTGAAATTTTAATCATTTACTATTCTGTACATTGTCTTCCTATCCACCAATTTTCGTTTCAATAGGACAACTCCTTCTTGCTGCGTCGATTTTTTTGTTATAGAGTGTATATATATATATGACCAAACCAAATACAATTTTTAGAAATATAAGAAATAATTCCTTCGATGAGCGATGCAAAAAAAGCACATAAGAATTCAAATTATTGTGAAGCAATGTTACAAACAAAATTATTAAATATAAAAAAAACGATGTGCCAGATTAGCAACAGAAAATCTGTAACATAAGACATACAATTACTTTTAAATTGTCTTCTTTTATATTGTTTTAATTAATTTTTAATAGTTTGTATTATCTCTAACTATTTTGATCTAGAGTGCTGTTCAGATACTTAATACAGTTTCTTGAAATTATTCCTTAATTAACGATGACTTAGATTAACAATTTAGACGCACAAGTATTGCGTCAATATAATTTTGTATTAAATACTAGTGTTAGTCAATGTGAGTATGTTACAAGTTAAACATGTCTAGCGATGTCCTTTAACGTATCAATAATAGCATTAGTTTGTTTGAGGTATATTAATTATGAAGCATTTGTATATCAGGCATTCATGTTTGTAAAATGAATGGTTTACGAACGCATATTCACCAATGATATACGCAATTTAAATCAGGGATTTTAAATCCGTCAGCTAAATTCGTACCTGTAATCGATTATCACACTTCTGAGCGTTTTGAGATGCTAAAATTCGATAATTCTTAATAGTTACTTCTAATGACGCTTATAATACTGGAGGGATGAATTGATTATATGATGATATGAACGGCTTAATACAAGCATTAAAAATACCGATTTCTTGCAGTATATAAGCAACAATGGATAGGACTGCTTTTTTATATTATAAATATTGTAAGAATAAAGCATAACTATTAAACTCATCTTTTATATTAAATAAATAATCCCAAAGAAACTGCAACAGTAAGATATTGTCAGATAAAAGACTTCGTTCTCTTCAAAAATATACAAATCGGAAATAACAGTCCATATCTTGCAAGCTCTAGTAAGTCTTGAAAATGGGGGTTTGTTTTTGTTCTTCTACTATTTATGATCTGTTTCCTATTTATTGTTCTTATGACATTTTATTGATTTCCTATTATTTTTCCTAATATGCTGTTATTTGTTATTTATTTATTTTTGAAGCGACCAAATATTTTAATCTGGTAACACCTTTTGCATGTTATCTTCCTTGATATCATTTTATTCCACATAAATTTGACTCTATTTTCGGAAATCTTCTAATTATTTAAACTTTTTAAGAAATTTAAAATAATCTATGTAAGTTTTGAACACACTATTGGGTACGGTATCGACATCTTTAAACCCTTTTACAACAAGATTTTAAGAAGCTCTGGTCTATATAATTGTCTCTAAGGATGTCTTATTGCTATCATCTCTCTCTATTAGAACTAGTTGCATTATTTTTTGTCTTATTTAATACCCCAAAGTGATAGATTTTTTGGCGAAAGAAAAAAAGTATTCACTTCTCGTATGTAACTAATCATAAAATATTTCTTCTCCACCGCATTTAATTATGAAACAATATAAATTTAAAAAAAAAATGAAATAAGAAGGTAAAAAAGGGGACAGAAAAGGATTTAAGTGAATTGAATAGGATTTGTTATTGGCCAGTGAAGTGTATAAAGTTCAAACTAAATTTTGCGCTTCAGGAAACTCATAAGTGCGTTGAAGAAAAACTTTGAGGGGGGAAGTTTCCTTTTATAAGTTTCCTTTTTCTTGAATAAAAGAATTAAGAAGTATTATAAAATAAGAATCTTGAGGTTTTCGGGATTGGATTTGTTTGAATTGATATGCCTATCATAATCTTTTATGAATATCTTTCTAATTTAGAAAGAAAAGAGTAATTTCGAAATGAGTAGGATTTATGTTAATTAACAAAAGTAGTACTTTTTATGGCAATAAGGTATAATCCAATTTTTGGATAGGAAAATATTATCAAAGAAATTTAAATTTTTGCAATGTTTTAATCGAATAAATTTTCTCAGAATTGTGGAACGGGAACTTTTAATATTTTGTTAACACTGAGATAGTATAAAATAAAAATTCATGTCAGTAATTTTTAATCTGATTTTGATTATTTTTTGAACGCCGATTTCAAGTGTGTAAATAGTTCTCCACTATCAAATTTACTTTTAGCAATGCTAAGTTAAAAAATGTGTGATTTTTACAGCCTCTTGCATTTTGTGATTCTGGAATTTTAAAACTAGTTTAGTCTTTATTTCGGAGTGTTGGTTTCAAATAAGAAAAAAAATTTTTTTTTTCATTGCTACTCTTTAAGATTCGTCGTTACTCTTCAAAATTGACTTTTGGACAAAACTTTTTGAAAAGATTCGAAAAGAACTACACAAATCTCCAAAATTAGAATGATAAAGTAAAATGGTTTCAATAATGAGGAGGTAAAATTATGTGAAATATTATAATCAGTTCATTTTAAAAACCATTGTATTAAAATAAGTAAATAAATAAAGATGTAAGCTTGTGTTCTCAAAACGAAAATTTTAATTTAACATAAAACAAATAAAAAAGTTTTTTTTTTCAAAAAAAAAAACATTAAATTCGAAAAAATATTTCTAGAAATTAATTCTTCTTTTTAATCTGAGCTCTACAAAATTTTTAGGCATTATTAAGGAATTTTTGAGAAGCGCAAAGTTTACATAACTTTCAGTTCCAAACTGAGAAATTGAAGTGGAAGCTAAAACGAGAAATGATCTACAAATAATCTACTACAATAATTAAGATATTCCTTTTATGCTTTTCTTTGTTTCCTGCTGAGTTTTTTTAATTAGACATCCCTTTTTTTATATTACCCAGGAAGAGCATTCTCCCTCAACAAAATTTTCCATTACACCCCTGAATGTAACCCCTATTTTATATGAATTATATTTTCAAATAGAGATTTCGAAAAGTTAACAAAGTGTAATTATTCATAGAAATTCCTTCGTCCCAATTTTGTTTTAACACTTTCTTTCATTACTAAAAGACATTTTCATAACAAAATAACTCGTTGTTAATATTTTACGAAAACTATTTTAAAGAGAAACGAGAGCATCTCATTTGCAATGTAATTTCTCCCTTCGTTTATTATTTACAATGAATGTTTTGAGTTAGTATTCTGCAATTTCGTTAATGCAATGTTAGCAAGAGAAATATTCTTTATGTTGTTTTAGATTTTCCTTTAGTCGTAATTCCCAATTTTGAGTACGTAGCTTTTATGACGTTTTTACATTTTAGAGAATAAGCTTCAATATGAATAATTTATGATAGCAGAATAACGATCCGGCTCAATTCAGACGAAATAGTATTTGTGATTAACTTCAGTCCAATTATTTTCCTGTTCACTAAGTTAAACTACATTAGGAAATAATAATTTAAGACACGATATTTTTCGTGATAGATTTATCAGTTAATCGTATTTTCATATTACGCTTTTCAAATCATTTCATATTAGTTTATAGTTTGAAAATGTGGTTGGTTTAAAAATAACTTTTTCAGTTAGGTTTAAAACAACTATGTTATTTTTAAAGTTAAATATTAAGAATTGTAATCATTTTATAATACTAAAATTCAGTTTTCATTGTTTATGTTTCTTTTGCAAATTATTTCTTTATTATTACATTTAAAATACATATTTCTAATTAAAAAAAACAACAACCGTTAAATGGGTGAACAATCAAATCATTTACAAAATAAATGCAGTAATGAAGGTAATGAAGTCCAAAGC